TTTTTCTGTAATACGTGCTTGCTAAGTATAATGGAATAAATCATCCAGCAGTGAAGCAGTGCTAGTTTCTCTATAATTTTACCTGTATTGAACAAAGAATAAGCACTTAAAATGAGAGAATAGTCTTCTGTTTAGATGTCAGTTCATATCTTCTGTCTTCCCTAGTCTTAGATGTTGACGGTTATTTTGTCCACAAAAATCCCTGTGATTGTTTTTACTGAAGTTTTTGCAGTACTTGTTGTTATTTGTGGAAAATTCTGCTTTCGGGAAGCACAGCTGCCTGATTAACATTGCACTGTGATTAAATAGTTAAATTCCCTTTTTTAACCTCTGTGTGCAGCGGGTTATTAATTGAGTATGGCTGCTAAACAACTGAAAATAAGCCTGTTGGTAAACTTCAAGAGGAATTCATATATTCTAGTTGTTCACAGGGCTTTACATCAGTCATAGGTTTTCTGAGAATGATTTAGTTTAAAGCATTTGAATGATGAACCTGTCATAAAGGCCAGATCTGGATTTGATTCATAGCTGTTCTGTCTGTCTTGGGAAAACTGTTCATTAGTTCACAGAGGATGCTATGACTGTTCATTCTTTTTGCAGATTTCACAACTATTTCTGTAGGTAGGCTTTAAACAGGGAGAGCTTAAGTGTTACAGCAACTAGACTTTTGCCGTTATCAAGCCAAGGGCATTGGCCCTTGCATTCTTTTTTAGCCAGATATTTTCATCTTGAGGACAATAAGCTAAGCAATACAGAAGGTTTAATGTTGTTTTCTGTTGGGTGGCACAATCTGGTTTCTGTTCTTGGTGGTGGAATTGGAGCAATCAGAAAGTGATCACAAGCAAGAAAACCATAGTTTAGTGGGAAAAGTAGGAGTTTTCATAGTGTCATGCCACTTGATCTGAAAGATTACGATGTTTTTATATTTATACCTTCTCCTATCAAATTTAATGTAAACTGTGGTACAATAGGACTTGGTTCTCTATAGCCACTTACTTTCTGAAGAAGTTTTTCTTGAAGAAATTCTACAGTGTAATCTTTTGGTTTGCTTTGCATTACTCCCTGCCCCACCCTCCCTCCGCCCCCCATCCCTGCCACCACCTCAGTTAATAAACAGGACATTTTAGCAGAAGGACTCAATGATTCTTATTCTCCATCCATTTTCCATAGCTTAACAAGTTACTACACATCTGTTGGCCAAAGAAAGAAAGGGGTGGTTGGACTTTCCATTTGCAACAGAGTCTTTGCATGGACAGTTAAAAGAGCTCTGCAGACATGTAATAATTAAACCATGAGTCTCGTTTTTTATATGTATATTTTTATATATATGTGTATATGTGTGTGTGTATGTATTTATAATACTGGCATATGTGTAAGTACATATTTGTGTGTGTGTATGTATGTATATGTGCACATGATTTATTGGATTACCCTCATGCAGGTATTATGCTAGGCAAATTCACCCTAAAGATTCATACTCCATATTGACTTTTCCAAAACAGTATGTGAAAGTATCAATATTCTAATACTAAAAACTTGTTAGGGGAGTGCCTTTATTAAATATTAGCTATATAGAATATTGAACAACTTTTATTTAAAAGAGACTACATGATCTGGGTTGTAATGCAGCAAAAATGCCTCAGAAGCAAAAGGTCCTGAAATTGAAGGGGTTTGTTACAGAATGCAGTCTCATTACTTTAATTTTCCACTATGTCTTCTTTATTCTTAGATTTTTTTTCTCTGGTATCTATCTTTTTTATACTATATATGCTGCTAAGTTTGTATCTCATAATTTTGTTCAGGTCAAATTTTTTTTTAACTGTCCATGAAGGAGATACTTACAGTTTCTTGCTTAGTTTCTCTCCCCACATCTTCAGGGGCCTAACTCTTATAGTACCCAAGAAAGTTCCTTAGAATAATCTATAAAGCAGATTTATAATTGTCCTGGTTTGGCTGGGACAGAATCCCAGCCCAGCCATGCCAGGCAGGCCGTTAGCAGTTTTGAGTCAGCCAGGGCAGTTGACCTGAGTGAGCTACAGGGGTAGACCATCCCATCATGGCATGCTCCTACCGCAAAGAGGGGAGGTTTACTGAGAAGAGAGAACTCCTGCAATTCCTCCTGCTCCTCCTTTGTCTTCTCCCAAGGACTGCTCTAAGGTTGATTGTGTCAACTGGATAGTCATTTGGCTGAGTATAACTCTGTATATCTCTGTTGGTGTTGGTGGTGTTTCATTAAATATGTTTCGCTTCTACCCATGGGTCTGCTCCCCTTTTTCATGATTCCCCTTCCTGGCTGGTAAGGGGTCATTGGGTGATAGAGCAACTGTTATAGTTTAGCCCTGGGTACAGGCTAAACGTAGACAGTAATCCATCTGTTCACGGTGTTTTGCTTTTACAAGTTGCAAGTAACTTCTGAATACAATCAGCGAAGGAGATTCTAGGTGTGGAAAGTATCAATGTGCAAGAATAATAACTTTCCTAAGAGTCCAGGTAAAGTAAAGCAAGTGTTGAGAGTTAACTATTTCTACATTCCACCCCCACACCCCCATACTTAAATATCACTGAAGTGTTTGGAAGTGAATGTTGGAAGTGACTTATTGAGATCATCTAGTTCAACCCCCCTGCTTGATCAGTCACCTAGTACTGGTTGCCCGGGACCTTGTAAAGTTGAGGTTTGAATATCTCCACAAATGGAGACTACACAGCCTCTAAAGGCAAGCTGTTCCAGCATATGACCACATTCACAGTAAAAAGGTGGGGTTTTTGTGTTCAGATGGAATTTTGTGCATTTTAATTTGTGTCTGTTGCCTCTTGTCCTATTGGTGGGTATTACTGAGAAGAGCCTGCAACCCTCTTCTTTATTCCCCCCATCAGGAATTTATACACATTCATGAGATCCCCCCTGAGTCATCCCTTCTCCAGATCAAACAGTCCCGACTCTCTCAGCCTCTTATACAAAAGATGCTCCAGGCCCTTAATCACGCTTTGGCCCTGTCCTGGATTAGCTTCAGTAAGCCCATATCTTTCTTGTACTGAGGAGCCCAGTTCTGGGATCTCACCAGTGCTGGGCAGAGGGGAAGGATCACTTCCCTTGACCTACTGGCAAAGCTCTTCCCAATGCAGCCCATGAAGCTGTTGTCTGCCTTTTCCCCAAGGGCATGTTGCTGGCTGAGTCAGCTTGTTGTCCACCAGAACCCCAAGATCCTCCTCTTCAGAGCTGCTTTCTAGATGGTTGGCCTCAAACTGCTGTTGCATTGGGTTGTTCCTCCTCAGATGCAAGACTTTGCATTTCCCCTTGTTGAACTCCATGAAGTTCCTCTCTGCCTAGTTCAAGTGTGATGTAACCCTCTGGTGTATCAGCCACTCCTCCCAGTTTTGTATCATCAGCAAACTTGTCCAGGTCATTAATGATGGTGTTAAACAGGGCTGGACCCAGTACTGACCCCTGTCATACATCGCTAGTGACTTTTCTGCACCTGGACTTTGTATTACTGATCCCAACCCTCTGGGCCCAGTTGTTCAGCCCGCTTTCAGTCCATCACACTGTCCACTTATCTAGCCCATGCTTTGTTGACTTGTCTATCAGGAAGTTATGGGAGTCGATGTCAAAACCCTTACTAAAGTTGAGATAAGCAACACCCACTGTTCTGCCCTCATCCATGAACGTAGTCACCTCATTGTAGAAGGCTATAAGGTTGTTCAAGGAATATATAGTACTGTATTTACAGAACGTAAACTGATCTTGATATTTTTAATGTCATTAGTGTCACAATGTTAGTTTTTTACTGTGCAGTTTCTGTCTGAAAAGAAAATTCTAAAAGCCCCTCTATGAACACTATGAATTAATGCAGAACTGTGAAAAGATTGCTCCTTGTAGTAATTTTTTTTAATGCTTTGTAAAGAAGAAAACACAGGAGAGCACTTTCTGTAGACAAAACTCCACACAGAAAAGATTCTTTAGAATATTTTTCTGTTTCGGAGCTAAAGTACCTCAGAGCTTTCCCTGAGAAGATTCCCTTCCCCACTCACCAATTTAAATCACAGAAATTCTAGTATAATAATGGCAAATAAAGTCACACATTTTCCTTAAGACTGAAAAAGCTACACCTGTCCTGCAAAAATGTCCTCAGAACATCCTAGTATTGGTATGAAGTGATGCACACTGCAGCATTTTATGAAGAAAATGACTGGCAATCTGGTCTGATTAACACTTTTTCTATTGTTTGCATATTTAATAACTAAACCTCTATTTGAAATTCTGCTATTCAAAATTACTATTATTTTGGTCTTACTGCATGCATAAGCTGAGCATTTCCATCACCAAAGTGATACAAAATTGCCTTGGAAAGTGGACCTGTATTCATAATTCCCGTACTGTTTCCCTGTACTTGCTCCTTTTTTGGATTTGAATATACATCATGTTTCTTGAAATGGTGCTTTTAATACCTGTGTAACCATATCTGGCTCAGCAGGAGAGAAATAGTTACCCTCTATAATCACTGTAAAGTTTTACTCATTTTTAGTCATTTTTATATCGCTTTTCTGCTGTTTTCTTACCAATTTCAACAGTTTCTTATTACAAGTATTTCTATGTTGCTGCATCATCATTCCGATATTGGCTGTTGTTACCAAGTGTTGAATAGAAATATGCAAAACTTCATCTCATTTGGGGTGATTGTGAATGTACTTCTCTGGGCAGAACTTAAGCAACATTACTAATGCCATAACCGCAGTTAGAAATAGGGCATAATTGTTTCGGTACTGGACACCACAAATGAGGGGCACCTCCATTCTGGTTATCCAGAGTACTGGTCCAGTTCAGTCCAGGACTCCTGTTGGGCAGGCTCATGACATTATTACTGGTAGCTGTGTTCAGTTAAGTGATTGTCATGTTCATGTTACTATTAGAAACGTAGGAGTGAATTTGAAGATGAAAGGTTGCTTTGGAGTGAGATACTGTTTTAAATCAGTATTTTTTTTTTCAACCCTTATTTTATTAGGACTGTCAGGGGATTTCTTGCGTTCTGGACGATACTCTGCTCATACCATCAATGGGGCCTGGTCACCCTGGTCTCCGTGGTCTCAGTGTAGCCGTGACTGCAGTAGAGGTATACGGAATCGCAAACGGGTCTGCAGCAATCCTGAGCCCAAGTACGGGGGACTTCCTTGCCTCGGCCCATCTCTAGAGTACCAGGAATGCAACATTTTGCCTTGTCCAGGTAAGAGTCAAATGAAATGAGAGAAGTGTGCGAAAATAAAATAACTCATTTTCAACGCTATATCTTGCTGTAATTGGTTTGGGGTTTTTTTTTAGTTGCTGTGTTTGAATAAACTACATGTGAAATTTACCTTTATAATATAAGTGGGTTTGGGTAAGATTCCTGTGTGATGTCAATCGGTTTATTATCAACATTATTGAGAGCTATATCTTTTCTCACTTGTGAGACTTCGACTGTAAAGATACAATTTTAATAAGTAAACTTATAAGAGAAAAAAAACATAAGACATCTGGCCTAGTCTTTGTTTAAACTCAAAATACCATTTTCATCACAGTAATTGCTGGCATTAAATCTGTGCTAGCTTTTGAGCGTAGAGCCTCCAGCAAATAAGGTTCAGAACTGATCACCAAACTAGATGGTAACTCAAGTAGGCCATAAAGATTGTTCATGGAACTGTGAGCTTCTCCTTCATTGAAAGCTGTTTTATGATTCTATGGAAAGGATTACAAGTAAAATAAATGTTTTCAAGAAACTGCTTTGGGTTGTAAATCATTCATGTATCTTGGACATTTGGGGAAAAAAACAACTTGGTTTCAGTCACCTCTCATCCTTCATAAAACACATCCAAATTCAAAGGCTTTTGGGCTTTGCAGAGGCTTTATGAAAAAAGAAAGGGGACAGATATAGGAGAACACATGAAGAAAATAAAATACAATTAGAATAGGAGTAAAGAGTTCAAGGTAAGAAACTATAGAGAGGAAGAAGGACAATGACTGAGAGAATCAGTTCTTTCCAGAATCAACAAGTAAATTTAAAAATAAGCTTTCGTACATCTTTAGTTGTATTAATTATATGTAACAGTGCTGCACATTTTATTATTGAAGACTTGGAGCTTTTTGCATTTATTCAAGCATGGAGCTGAAGGATTGCTATGGCAATATGTATAGTGCATATGTATATTACTATAGCAAAACATATGTGTGTGTGTATTTATGTGTGTGTGTATATATATAGGATACAAGTTAAAACTTTGTTCCCTAAATCATGGATATTTTTTTTTTCATATGAGTATTTTGTCCAATCTTTTCATTGCAATGCTTTCCCTAAGCTTTGTAAGCCCTCTGACAGAATGTTAAGCAGTAGATCTGTGCAGAAGACAGGGCATCCTTTTCAGGAGGGCAGTTTCTTGAAAAACGTGCTTCCATCTTGAATTGAACCCAAGTAGTAGGGTTTTGCATGTATCCCACCAACCCAGAAGCTCTGTGAGCATTCCAGCCACTCAGTGAAAGCGACCTTCTCTGCAGTTTTATGGCTGATGAGAACACTAGGATTTCTTGCATACCTGAATGCCTCAGGCAGCCCCCTGAGGCATTCAAGCCTCCAGCTCTCTTGATGCTGGTGCAGATCCAAAGGGAATTTCTGTTGGGGATCCCTGCTTTGGTTTGAGTAAACACCCATTGAGCCATTAAGGTTCTGAAAGAGGCACTTGGGCACAACAAGCCAGCACTGGTGAAATTTTCTTGCTGCATCCAAGGAGGAGGAAAGTGGCTTCAGATGCTCATTGTGTAGCTTCTCTGTCTGCCAGTGTAAGTATCTGAGATCAGGTGAAGAGATTATATGCTTCTTTCTGAGGTTAGAGGCACCATCAGTGAAAAGTGGCCATTTTCTACACCAAGCAGTCTGACAGAGGGGTGGAAGGGAATTAGCAGAGAACAAACAGATGGTGAGAATTATAAAATTGTGGCCCAAATCTTCTCCACATTTCCACAGCCCTAGTGCATGCTCTAATTCATTAGCCCCGAACAGCAATCATAATGCCTTGCTTTTCTTGAATAATAAAATTATAAACAATTCTGTTTCATGTGGCAGCCCTGTGAAAAATTTTGGAGGTTGACAGTAATTCATTTCGTTGATGATTTGGGAAAGCATTGTACTAACATGTACAAGCCTCCCCAGGGATGTATGCAGTAGGTGAGGCAAGTTAGAAAGTAGCACCTCATCGGTTCTTTCTTTCCTTGCAAAGGGAATCCCTCCATGAGACACTGCCTTCAGCTTCCTTTGAAGCAGGTGAATGGTGTGGTAATAGCTAACAGCTATAGGTAACAGCTCTGCTCACAAGTTTTAAGATATCTGATTGCATTACCATACTGAAGTACATTCATCAAGTGGGCCCAGATTATCTATAAAATGGGGCCAGATTTCTTGTTCATCTCTTGCTGTTGATTCTTAAATTAAACGCTGTCTTGAATTTGTTGGATTTTTTCAAAGTTAAGATAAGTTTAAGGTTTTCAGAAGTGGTATTTTCAATTAGCACCTAGTACTCTGTTTTATTTTTTGAAGGAAATTGTTCCAACCAATAAAACACAGTTATGCAGATACAAGTTTGATGTAGAGGCCCTTGTTGTTTATGAGATAGCCAATACCCAAAACTAGAATACATAAAGTTATAAGACAGAACTGGAAATTGCACTTTATATAAAAAAAATATTCCCTCTACTGCTTTCTCTGAATTCGAAAATATTTCTAAAGATCAGTTGGTATAAAGTGTGGTGGGCCTTTCTGAAGAAAGAAGGCATGTCCTAGTATATCTAATAACTTTCTTCAGAGACAAATTTCATTTTTCTTTTTACTGCCAAGCAAATTTGAATAAAGATGTAGAGCTTGGATGAAGTATTTAGATGTATGATAGCCTATGAGGAATCACAAAGCTCCTCAGCTACAGAACTACTGTTTGCCAGTAATTAAGAAGAAATGTAAGGGGCTAAGTCAGATCTTAGATAAATCTGAAGGGAAAACATTGCAAACAGTAGAGGTAATTGATTTTTTTTTCTTTAAGACATGGGAAAGTAAAAACTGATTGCAGAATAAGGCCTATCCATAAATTAGACCTGATTATAAATTTGTAGAAAGGGAATGAGTTTTTATTAGAGAAGCACACTGGTGAAATTAAATTCTCTCCATTTTTAATGAAAGCTGCAGAAAGTTAAATTGGTGGGTAAACACGAACATCTATTAGGTTGACATTCATGAGACCTCATCAAGAAAGGGGAGACATAAACAATACATGCGTGAAGTGCCTTTGCTCCAGGCCCTGGCTTACAAACCTGGTAGACCCCACAGCAGGGGCACAGAGGAGAGCAGCCAGGAAGAGAAACTATGGCTGGATCAATTTTCAACCTTCTTGGTAATCACTGTGCTAGCAACTGGATTTCGTTTCCTGGGTGCTTATATTTAGGACAGCTATATGAAGTCGTTCTTACCCTAGCTATCTAAGTGAGTTTCTAAAATGTCCCTGTTAGGCTTTGATCACACAGCCCTTGCAGAAGTTTATGAGAAAGGTTGGTGTAGGTGTGAATCCTGTTGTGGTATTGACTATACCCTCCTCACATGGACTAGGCTGTTGATGGAATTGCAGGGACTGAGTAGGAGTAAACATGTCTGGCCCTTCTTGCCAGTGTGAGCATCAAGGAGGACAGCAGGGACTCTGCATAGTACATTCTTGCCCATGTAAATAAGCGAGGTGCAAACAGAAAGGCTAAGATATGCGAGGAGATTTTGTTCTGACCTCAACCCAAAAGTAATAGTACTAGAAATAAAAATACAACAAAGAAGAATTTGACACTTCCTCAGATTTACCTGAGCTCCCTCGGTGTAAGGACAGCTTCACCTGCACCCTGCTGGCACAGAACCATTTAGTTACAGTCCAGTCCAGTCATTAGCCTTTCAGAAATATTGTTGGTAGTAGGAAGGGGTGAGTTGGCAGCCATGAAGAAGCCTTCCTGATAGTGCACGCTCAGGTTCTGCTTTGCTCCCTGTTCTGCTTATTGCAGACAGGATCAATCCCATATGATGTAAACTGCTGAGAGAGATGAGTGATAGAGAAATATACTGAGCAGTGTTTAAGTCATGCTGAAAGTCAATAGGACTTTATGGTTGCAAATCAATTAGTCTGGGTTCGGTGTCATCCTGGAAGATACTAAGTGCTCTCTGAAGGACTGACACAGTGAAAAAGCCTATGACACAATCACTGAGTGTACAAGGCTCTCATCTGGTTAAGTGTCTTGCAGCATTGTTTTAAATATACTTATTAATATATTAATAGCCAGTAATTTATGGTTAAATGTGCTGTGGGATCCCAGAACTTTAAAAAAATACTGAAGCCATCTAGAATCTGCCTTCAGCAGCCACTATTAAATCTTTCTTAAGCCTGCAGCGCAAAGAGAACAGTGACATTTTTGCTACAGCTTGTAGCAAAGCAAATAGTTCACTGACATGCAGTTTAATAGTAGTCACTGGGCGGATTACTTTTCATTCATAGTATTTGGAGGATGAATACATAACAGTAAATTGAACAGTGCCAGAAAATTGCCAGAAATTTTACCCAGGCCCAGCAATGATTTGTCTGTATTGTACAAATTTTAAAGTGATCCCTCATACAACTTTGTCTTCAACTAACTAGCACTCTCCCAAAGAATCTTCAGAAATAGTTTGGGGGTCAGTATAGAGTAAAGCCTTTTCCCGCTATTCAGTTTCCATGTGGCCAAACTGCTTTGAGGGGCAGGAGAATTTGCACTATTGTCTTGCACTAGCAAATTATGCTTTGGCTCTGTGCCTCACCTCCTTTTTTAGCTCAGAGATGTGGTGAATAGAGTTGAGCTGGCAAGCACTGAACAGCCACAATAACTACGGAAAGGATCTGTGAATACTCACTGACATTTTTGGGGTTTTTTGAGTTACTGATATGTGGTCAATATGAAAAGAAAGCGATCTATAATCAGACATATTAGGTGTTTGTTATCCTTGGGGTCTTGAGAGATATTTATATTATGAAGATAAATAGATGATGAAGAGAAGTATTGTTTGAATGGTTAGTTCTGAAAATTTACAAAAATTTACTAAATAAAAGATTTGTTTGCCTGAAAATAATAATAACCAAATGTAACAAATTCTGTCCTAGTTCACAATATTATACATCTTTTCCGTTATCGCTGTAGGAAGAGACAACTTTTTTTCCATTCTCTTTTCGTTTTGTTTCTTGTTGCCTTCTCTTTTATTCTTTTGCACATAGAGACACTGGGCCAATGTGCCTTATTTAGGAGTTTAAAGCATAGCTACCTCAGTGCCATTGGGTAGCATGAGCTCCTGCTCCCTCCGCTCCTCAGAGTGTGGATCAGAGGGAAAGGACAGTTGCCATCTCTTAGATTTGAAATTCAGATACTTCATGACAATATTTTGGGATTTTAATGGTTTCAAATTTTTATTAGTTTGAGTTTGGTTTAGTTATGACATTTTGGCTGAAAAGAACTGAATAAATTCCTGTATCACTAAATGTGCTAATAACAATAAAGAGTTTCAGATATACAAAACTCCCTGAAAGACTATTTATTTATGCACGCCCTAAAGCCAGTTATTGCTTGTTGGTTTTTTTCTTCATTAATGCTTTTATTTTTTTCTCTGCTATTTGGTTTTTTCCTTGCAGTCATACTTAGCCACAAGGAAACAGAAATGTATTTAAAGGAACAGACAAAATTTACCCTGCAGTAACTTCCTAAATCAGGCGGAAAAATTATTGCAATCCAATAAAGCCTGTCTCGGAAGCTGCTGAAGCCCATCTCTCCAATGCATTGATCTCTCTATGCTGCTTCTGTAGCTAGTGAGGAGAGAGCTGAACTGCCCTTTGGAAACAACTGTTTCTTTTCTAACTTAAGAGTCTCAGTTACAGACTTGAACCCAGGTTGATCCTTAGGTTTTGTTGTACTTTCCTTAGAAGCATTCATTTGCCTTCTGTGTTTCTGGACTGCACTCTGTTGACTGTTTAATCCAGCATCGCTTTTATGATTAAAAGGTATCTGTAGCATCACAGAAACATAACTTTGCCTTTGCAAACTATGAAGTAAAAATTGCTCTTTCCCACACCGAAACATGCAGCAGTATCCCACCAGATTAGGAAAAAGCAGTAGGCTAAGTGATGTGGAATGGGATGATGCCCAGGAGTCTGGAAGGGAGCAGTACTCTCTTGGGTCTGTGAGCTGCCCAACACGCAGTGCCCCCGGATTTAACTTCTACTCAGCTGCTGGGAAGCACACCATCTGCATTTCTGCGGGTGGAAAGGATTACAGCCCCTCTACTTAGACTTCTTCATGCATATAGGAAAGACTGACTTCTCAGTAGTTTTTATTCTCTTTTACTACACTTTCAAAAAGATGAACATGAAAAGTTATAAACCTAAAGGCATACACAAAAAAAAAAACCTCAAAGAATTTTTTTTTATGTTTAAATTTGAAATCAGACCAGACAGTATAAAAGAGCCTGGAATCCTATCTATGTTCTCGTCAAAGCAGGTGAGGCCAGTGTGTCTGCCCACGCTTCCTTCCACTTCCTTGTAAAACTCAAAGTGCGTAGCAGGGTATCCAGTTTACTTAATTGTCTCTTGGAAATTCTCCAGTAGTGTGGATGTTTTGCCATGTCCCCAGGAGATCCTATTTCTGTACACTGTTTCTGCTTAGTACATTTTCTTCTCTGTGTTGTGTTTTTTTTCATTACAGTGAAGAAATATTTATTAACCACAACAACAACCAGTAGGCAAAAAGTTGTTTGGTTTACTATAAAGGAAGGATCATTGTTTGAGAGCACCCTGCTAGCTGAAGGGTGCCTTCTTCCAAAAGGGACCAACTTCAGTAACTGTCAAAACATAAAGAGGCTTTCTTTCATTGTGGAACTGCTTTAACGACTTTCTTTTGTCCAACATCTCTACAAAACTGTTATATAAAGGAAGTGTAGTGACTGAAACTTTCCTTGCAGCTGTGTGTTTTTCCTCCTATAAGAAGCAGAAATAACATTAAGGACTCCATGACAAAAGGAAGGAAAAAAACCCCACAAAAACCCAGATGGTGCTGTGTTGCTAGGCAACTTTAAAGAAAGATGAAAGAAACCACAGAGCTCTATTTAGGTCTTGTAAAAACTCAAGCAGTAAATACCCACTCCTTTGATCTTATTTAACTATGATGATGTTTTATCATCCTCTGTTGCTGGGAAGAAAAGGTTCTGGGGACAAATAAAGAGGTAGTTATGATAGTTCTTGAAAGGCCTAGAGATTTAGGATGGCAGCCTGTCAGTAAATAGTCACTAAGAAAAATAATTATAATTATACTGTCCAGCTCAACCATGATCAAATTAACATTGTTTATTATATTGTCTGTTGTTTCCTGTCTTCCCCAGACCCACTTCTTCCTTTACATCCAAAGTCTTACAGTACAGCCATGATCACTGCAGTTGTGGAACATGGTGACATTCCTGGATGTCACATCAGTCTCTGTGCTCTTGGCCACCTATAGATACATGGCAGTTTCAAATGCATGCACGCTTGTAATTCTCACTCTGGCCCACTGAAAAATAAATAGAAAGAGTTGGGTGTCACTGTCTCCATTACAGTGAACAAGCCACAGGTAACGTTTGCAGACAATTTCTCTTCTGTCTAGGCAATTTTAGGCTGTCGTTCTGTTTCATGTAGGTCTGCAC